TCTTTCTGGAATGGGGGCCCCAAAATTTGATGCAATATCCCAGATGTGGCTTCACCAGTGCTGAATAAAGGGGAATAATCACTTATCTCGATCTGTTGGCAATGATCCTTTTAATGCATCTGTCTATGCCATTAGCCTTCACTACAAGGAAACACTGTTGACTCATATCCAGCTTCTCAGACACTATGATCCCGAGATTCTTTTCTGCTGAACTGCTGCCTAACCAGTCTGTCCCAGCCTGTACCAATGTTTGGGATTCTTACAGAACTCTGCTCTTCTCATTGCTGAAGCTCATCAGATTTCTTTTGGCCCAGACAGTTCACCCCCTGCAGACAGAAGCCAAGTGGCAGAGGGTGGGGTGGGATTTGGGAGGCTGATGGGGGACAAAGAAAGAGGCAAGAGATGGTGAAGCAGAAGCAATGGAGAGAGCCGTGCTGGGTGGTGGAGTGATAAGTCATTAGATGTAAGGAACAGCTCCGATGGCAAACTGGAAGTATGCTGAGCTCAGCCAGATTGGGACAGAGCCCCCTGGTTTATGAGGAATCCCATTATCCCATCTTCACACACACGGGCAATCACATTCTGCAGCTGCATTTCCTCATTTTGTCGCGAAGCTCTTTGGTTTTGACCCCATAAATAATGGGGTTGAGCATGGGAGGGATAAGGAGATAGATGTTGGCCACGATCACTTGAATATGGGGAGCGATGCCCTGAACGAATCTTAGTGTCAAGCTGTTCAGGTAGCCTGGAGTATAAATGGTCAGCATTACACTGATATGGGCTGTACATGTCTTGAAGGCTTTCTGGTGGGCTTTCCTGGAAGAGATTCTTAGGACGGCCCTGATGATCAGACCGTAGGACAGAGCAATGAGCATCAGGTCTAACCCACTGACCACAAATGATACCACCAAGCTGTACATGCTGCTGACTGTGATGTCCCCACATGACAGCTTTGCCACAGCCATGTTCTCACAGTGCGTATGGGCAATAGTGCGGTTGGCACAAAATGACAGCTTGCTTAAGAACAGGGGCAGAGGCAGCATAAAGAGAACAGATCTTATGAAACTTGTAAGACCTAACACGGCTATTCTTGCATTGGTGAGGATGGTGGTGTATCTGAGAGGATTACATATGGCCACGTAGCGATCAAAGGCCATTGCAACCAGAATGGCTGACTGCGTAAAACCAATTGTGTTAAGAAAGAAGGTCTGGGTGATGCAGGCACCCACTATGATGCTTTTTAAATTGAACCAAAATATACACAGGGCCTTCGGCAAGGTGGAGGTGGATTTGGCGATGTCAGTGAGTGCCAGCATGCAGATCAGCAGGTACATCGGCTTGTGCAGGGTCTGATCTTTGCCCACAACAAACAGAACTGTGAAATTTCCCAACAGGGTGATAAAGTAGGACATAGCGAAAGGGATGGAAATCCAGATGTGGGCATTTTCCAAGCCAGGGATGCCCATTAGGATAAACATTGACTGATCAGAGGGTGTGAGGTTGAAAGCTGCCATAAAGTCTTCAGTTTGAAGATTGGCCTCAGAAACACTCATGTTGTCTGTGATGGAGAGAAGCACAGGAAATGGGTTACACACTTTATCATTAATTAGGATGATAAATATAGTTAATCTAGAAAGGAGGGTGAGCAGTGAGATGGCAACATTTACAGATGACCCCAGATTCTTTGTTCTAGCCAAGTCCAGAGACATCCTTAGAGGGATCTAACCAAGCCAAGACAATGGGAAGCATGATGGTAAAGAAACATCCATTCGAAAGAGACTTTTCTGATATTTGTCCCATCTACATGGGGCCAAATTCTGGAAAAACCTCCTCTTTTGGCACAGCCCTTTTTCATCATAAAATGGGGATTACAGGAATAGCAAAAGAACACATCTGCTTTTTTCAAAATTGCAGTCTAGACATAGCCTCTCTCATCTGTCTACATATTTGTATCTATATCTAGATAGAGATCTAGATCTTGGTTTAAATAGAGGTAATGATACAGATCTATATTTAGAGCTAGATACAGATTGTGTTAAAGATCTAGATCTGTATATAAAAATTAGAGCTAAATCAAGAGAACTTCTGAGAGGGACCTAAGCAAGCCAAGTGTATGGGCAGTACAATGGCAGAGAAACATCAGTGTCCATAATTGCAACATGCATGCTCATTGTAGGGAGAAGCATGATCTTCTCAAGCCTTAACCAGGCTCTTATTTAATTATGTGAACTCAGCAGAGGGACGTGGGGCTCATGGAACACAATTCTCGGAAACACAGCTCTCAGTGCAAGAATGGCCAGAAACTAAGGGAACTATTTTGATGTAGGAGAAGTGGGAGGCACCATTTTACAGAAAAAACAGTGCCGTGAGATCAGTCATTCAATGTTTCATTCTCTCTGGACTCCTCTGTGTGTAGTATTGTGAACCCATCTCTCACCAAATACTGCTGAACTAGAAGAGTTCTGGCCAAGAGAAGAAGAATATTCTAGAGCTGAGGGAAATTCTTATAGCGGAAGACGTTGAAAAAAAGTGGGAATGTTACCTCACAAAGATGCTGAATAAGAACGACAGAGAAAACTCTCTGTAATACTAACTGTTAGGCAGCAGATAAAGAATGTCTTCTCCGTGGTGTACGTCTACTCTGCAACACTATTTTGAAATAACTAGCATTATTCTGAAATAACTTAGTCTACACAGCAGGGAGTTATTTCTAAATAATATCAAAATACTGTCAAGGTGGAGGTCTTATTACTCCAACTCCTGTAACCCTCATTGTACAATGAGTAAGGGAAGTCAGAGGAAGAGTGCTCTAATTAAGTACTATGTAGACACTCCCTACGTTGAAGCTGAGCTATGTCCATTCCGTAGCATATTTCGAAAGAAGCTACTCAATTGACATAGCTCAACTTGCATAGCTTGCTTTGAGTTAAGCTATGCAGTGTAGACACACCTCCGTCTCATGACACAAAATCAAAATCAATAATTCAGAATGCTTTTCATCTCCCAGGTCCGAAGCAGCCTGAAGAATTCACATCACACAAAAAGCTGAGGCCATGACCTAAGCAAGAATCAAGAAGGGTTTGGACATTTACATGGACAGTGAACTATCCAGGTAGAACGGTTACAGCTTAGTAAAAATTTTGGAAAGCCAATGCCTCCCTGGGTTTCATGGCACTAGCCAATCTCTGTTTGCTAGGCATAGAGTGGCATCCTCAGACAATGAAGTCACCTCTGGCCAACTCCCTAATACTGGGGGTTTTATACATTCTGTGCCGCACCTAGGGCTGTCACTCTCTATGGCTACATCTACATTGCGCATTCTTGTGCAAGAAGATATGAAAATGAGTCGTGGTGATGAATATTTTCAGGTTGAACAGCTCTTGCACAAGAGGAAGTTTTGCCCAAAAAGGAGCAGTCTATACTGCTCCTTCTTGTGCAAAAGCCCCTTGCACAAAAATGACGGCTCATTAGGTATACAAATGAGGCTCAGCGATAGTCATTGCTGTGCCTCATTTGCACATCTTCTTTCGCAAGTATGTGCAATGTACATGTAGCCAAAGAGAAAACACTGGCTAGATGGACCATCATCTTGATCTATGATGCCAAAAGGAGACAAAACAAAGATTGTCAGACTGAGCTACGACTTTGTGCTCACCGGGATGTTCATGAACTGCAGAAAGTCCTTGGTATTTAGGCCTACAGGATTGTTCCTCTGTCACTTCCCATATTTATTTTGGTGCATCAATTTCTTGCAGACACTAGTTTATCCGAGACATAAGTTGAAGGTGTTAACAAACAAATATCAGAGGGGTAGCCATGTTAGTCTGAATCCGCAAAAGCGATGAGGAGTCCTGTGGCACCTTATAGACTAACTGAAGTGTAGGAGCATAAGCTTTCATGGGCAAAGACCCACTTCGTGGGCAAAGACCCACATGCATCTGATGAAGTGGGTCTTTGCCCACGAAAGCTTATGCTCCTACACTTCAGTTAGTCTATAAGGTGCCACAGGACTCCTCGTCGCTTTAACAGACAAATGTAAGCAAAGACTTGTGTGAGCTACTGAAGTGCTTGCCCTTCCCATGCCTCAGTATCAACGTTTCCAGATGACACAAAAATTGGGGGATCATAACTAGTGAAGCAGAGCAGATACCTATTGAGTGCCCTGTGGAGCAGTTGGTAAAGTGGGTCGAAGCAAATAAAACATGTGATTCTAGAGCAATGTAGATATCTACCTCTAGGAACAAAGAACGTAGGTAATGCTCAAACGATGGGAGACAATCCCTGGAAGCACGGGTTCTCAAAAGAAAGTTTGGGGGACATGAAAGAATAATTAAACCAAACATGAGCTCTCAGTTTGATAGGGTGGACCAAAGAACCAATGTGATCCTTGGATGACCACCAAGGGTTATCAATCTGAGGTAGAGAAATGGTTTTACCTCTGTATTGAGCACTAATGTGACTGTGGCTGGAATTCATTGTCTAGTTCTGGTGTCCATGGTTCAAGATGGAGGGCACTGGAGGGCATTCCAAGAAGAATCACAAGAATTAGTAAAACATTTCAAAGCCGGCCTCAGAGTGATAGACTCGAAGATCTCAATCTCTTTAGTTTAACAAATAGAGTTATGGAGTGACTGGATAACAGACTCTACTACCTAGATGTGGAACACATCTTCTTTAAAATATTTCTGAAAGTTTCTTTGTTTCTTTGTCCCAAAAGATCGCCGAAATGGTAAGAGCTAGAAACACTAAATTTTGCACAGATACTACTGATTTCCTAAGTTAACTGGATTGATTATATCTCAAAATCAGTTTCCCCAGAGTCCCAATTGGGCCCCAGAACCCCAGTTGGGCCACTAATTAGCTTTTAGTAGTGCCTGATCATAGGCATTTGCTGGATTTTCTGTTAAGCATGTCACATAAACTGCAACTACGAGATCCTAGAGGATAAAACATTGGGCACCTGCAGCACCATCAAGGAAAAGCCCATAGGCGAGAGGCTGCAGTGGGGCAGAGAATCAGCAACCTCCCCCATACTAGGGCACCAGCAGGTCTCCAGGACAGACCCAAATGTCACTGATGCTGGCTGGGGTCCAGACTTCCTAATTGTGTCTGGGAGAAACCTCCAGCTATCACAGCCTCTCAACATTTTCACACAGCTAGGCTCCGACTGAACCCCTTCTGGAAATTAAAGTTGCTACCCTCCCCATGCACCAAACTGAGAAGTTTTAAATGAAGGTTGGATCATTCTCTACAGGAATTAAGATCGCACAGTCATAACGTTCCCTCCTCGCCGTGAAATCTGTGCACTTTTCCCCAGGACCCACCTGGGGGCACTTTGCCCTCTACCGAGCTGAATTATCTTTATCGGGCAAAATCCTCATGTGACTGTGGCACCTTAGAAATGTGACATTACATGTACATTTCACAAGTCTGAGCGATCCTGTCACCATCGTCATGGACATTATTGGTGGGGAAAAAAAATGATTTGACCCCATGAAATCTCTGCACTGAGGAATGAGTTTCCCACTCTTGCCATGAAAGACTAACAGAACTGGCTAGCAAATGGCACCAGATCATCCTGGGTTTAACAGGTGTGTTCCAGGGTCCCACTGTTACAGGCAGCTACAGGGTCGTGTTAGACTGGATCTGCAAAAGCAACAAGGAGTCCTGTGGCACCTTATAGACTAACATATTTATCAGAGCATAAGTTTTCATGGGCAAAGGCCCACTTCCTCAGATGGAATTTCCACTACATGCATCTGATGAAGTGGGTCTTTGCCCACGAAAGCTTATGCTCCAATAAATCTGTTAGTCTACAAGGTGCCAAAGAACTCGTCCACTCTTATCCAAGGAGGTCTTGTGATATCTCTTTGATCTGTCCCTTTAGCAGCATTCAGCGCATTTCCAAACTCTGGGCCATCCTGATGTGAATACCACATGTCCTGTTTCCCCGCCTCTTTTCTGCCCCTGAAGCTGTGCCTCATTGGACCTGACCCATGCGATTTCAACCCTGCTAGGTTTCCTTTCAGCCAGAACGATTCATTTTGGAACTTTGTATCCTCTACTAACACAGAGCTGAAGGAGCAAGGAGAAAGCAGAGCTGTCTGCCTTCCTGAAAAAATTATTATCCTGATTGTTTTCAATGTTTACCCTTATAACTTCGGGATCTCAGCAAGCCTCCAGTGAGTTCTTCTGTCCAAACGAGCTCACCCATTCTTAGAGGACATGGGACAACTCCAGTTGAAGACACTGGAGGCTCATGGTCATTGTAAATCAGGCCGTTCCATTCATGTCCTTATGTGTAGATTCACGGTCATCTCCTGACTATATTGGCAGCTTTGCCATTGACTTCAATGGGACCCGTATTGTGTATATTTTGGCTCCCAGGTTTAAAAATCACGGCTTTGGGTCCTACAGAGAGCACTGTTCTGTGAGGCTGCTGAGAGAGTCTGAGGGAAACCCCTCAGGTTATGTAGCGTTCTGAGACAATGTCTAAAAGCTGGGGATCTCAATACACCTGAGTCTTGATACGGTTCTCAGGGAAGCCAGTGTCAATCT